GGCCCCGGGCGGCGTCCCAGCCGCTCGGCCGTCTGGTTGAGGGCGAGCTCGGCCCCGCACGACAGCGACTCGGCGGCGCGGGAGAAGTTGTGTAGGATGTTGGCGCAGGGGCCCTGCACCGCCATGCCCAGCGCTAGCATCAGCATCAGCATCTTCCCCTCCCCTGCGGGGACAGGGGGGGTCCTGGGGCTCAGCTGGGACCCAGCACCGCCCCGGCTCCTGGCGGCGGGACCGACGGCTGCTTACTGGTGAAGATATGGGGCAGCGATAGCAGCACGGTGACCCGCATCTTGACGGAGAAGGCCATGCCCAGCCCCAGCCCCGCGGCCAGGCTGATGGTGGTGACCAGGCAGTACCAGATGTTGTGGCCCTGCGCCAGCAGCACCAGAGCCCCGTACACGCTGGCCAGGGCCATGCCCAGAGCGAAGCCACCAGTGCTGCGGGCCAATTCCCATGCCTTGCTCGCCTCCTCCGACCGGTGTGTCTGCCGGGGCCGCCTGCCCCCGGATTGCGGTGCCGGGCGCTTCCCCCGGCCCCTCAGCCCCTGCAGGGCTCTGCCCAGCCGCGAGACCAGTCCCATGCTGGGCTGGGCTCTCCCAGGCTCCTGGTGCTCTCTCAGGCTCCGGGCGCAGGGATACGGCGGGCGGAATGGGCGGCTCACAATGCGCCCGTTCCAGGGGAGCATCCCACCGTTGTCGGTTCCAGGGGAGCATCCCGCTGTCGCCAGGACGAGGCACAGAGCCATGGGGCCAGTGGTGGCCCCCGGGCGAGAGCGCTCGGCTGGGACAGAGGCACGCAGAAGGCAGAAACCACCCAACACGAGTGAGGTCCCCTCCCACCCCGCTCCCGGCCGGGGCTGCCCGTGGGCAGCGGGAGAGGGCAGGGCTGACGCCTTCCTCCCCACCCAGCCCTGAAGCGAGCGGTGGTCTCGCTGCTGCCTGCCCCGTGCAGCCGGTTCCTCTGGAGCCGGCCGGACCAGTACCGCGGCAGCAAGTTCTTCCTGGGTGCTGGCGTCGGGACCCTCCTTGGTTTCGGTGAGTGTGCCCCGGCGCTGGGCATGGCGGGGGGCCGGTGGCACCGGGGGCTCAGGGCACATTCGCGGGTGTTTCAGGGCTCTGCCAGCTCCTCATCGTCCCCATGAACATCACGGAGATGCGCAAGGTGCAGCTCTGCTGCGGGCTGGCGGGTGAGGACGGGGCCAGGAGGGGACTGGGGTGACGGGAGCCATCGGGAGCCCTATGGGGGGTCTCTGCGGGACTGTGGGGACAGCTCTCCCCTCCCCACAGGGGTGACTGCCTTGGGCTGGGCCACGTCTCCCCACTTTCGCTGTGCCAGCCTGCTCATGGCCCCCAAATTCCTGGGCAAGGAGGGTCGGGTCTACGTCCTCTCCTTCGTCCTCGCCGCCATCTACAATGGTAGGGTCCCCCCGTGTCCCCATCCCCCTGTGTCCCTGTCCCCCCCAACGGGGTCCCGAGCGCTGGCGGGGTCTGAGCCACCCCTGCCGGCACCAGGGCCCGTGGCCAACACCTGGCACAACCTGGAGGAGGTGACGCGCTCGCTGGGCTGCGTGGCGGAGCTGCAGGTCAACCACAGCCGCCACCTATGGCGGGTGTCGATGGCCCCCCTGCGCAGGGTGATGGAGGACATGGCGGTGAGGCAGGAGGCCAGGGCGGGTGGGTGGCAGGGGGCCGGGGAGGAGCGGGGCTGAACCTCTGTGTGTGTGTGTGTCCCCCTCGGCAGCGGAGCGGGCGGACGCTGAACACCGAGATGGGGAACATCTCACGCGCCTTCGTGGAGCTGAACGAGGAGGTGGCCAGCGAGGCGGGGTACGACCTGCGGCAGCACCGGCGCCCGGCCTCCCGGCCGGCCCCCAGCACCCAGCAGCTGTACGAGACGAAGACCAAACAACGCTGCACCTGTGAGCAGGGCGGGCAGGAGGCCGGCAGCGCGTGGTGCTGCTGGCCAGGGGATGGGGCTGCCGCAGCCCCCCGTGCCGGCCGTGCGGGGCACCCCGGATGGTGCCCGGACCAGCGGGACTGGGGGTGCGTGGGCAGCTGAGGGCTCCTGCCCCCCCAGATGTGATCGAGCTGGGCATGCAGCGCTGCCGGGACTGGTTCAACGACAAGCACAAAGCTTGCATGGCGCAAGTGGTCGTGCCCATCATCAGCCACCTCCTCTGCGTGCCCATGAAGTTCAAGTTCCTCTGCCACATTGTCAAGAGTGGGTGACGTGTGGGACCCCTGCCCTCTCCTCCCTCTGTCCCCCGCAGCCCCCGGGATGGCAGCCGCAGCCTGTGCCGAGGCAATGCCCGGGGGTCCCGGCTCTGCCAGCACCGGCCCCGCTCCCTCCCCGCAGTCATGGACAGCTGGTGCCGGGACAGGATCCCCGTGGAGGGCAATTTTGGGCAGATGTACGACATGGTGAACAACTCCGTCAGCAACCTCAGCCAGGACTTCAGCACCAGCGTCGTCTTCCAAGTGGGTGCCCGTCCCCTCCGCCCAGGGCCGGGGCCGGATCCTGCCCGACCCCACGGCCCCTCCGCCGCAGGAGGAGCACCGCGAGATGCTGATGGGCGCCAACGTGTCGGCGGAGCAGCTGATGGAGGAGGTGACCTCGC